AAAAAAAAAACCATTTTTTTATTCAATTGTGACTATTAATCTATAATTAATAATTTAATATTCTTAATATAAAATGTTGACATGAAGCATTAGTTAATAATATAAATAATGTATTACATAATATAATATAAATCTATAAATATCCTTATTAATTATTATACATACTTATATTACAATACAATCCTGCAATGTGTTATTTAGTTAATAAAAATAACTTATACCTATATGCATAGTTCATAGAATTTAAAATAAAGAGTTTGTTTGCCAAGGAATAGCCCCTTCATTATTAAAAAATTCTTTGAACAAATTTCTAACTTCAAATCCTTCAAGGTTTGAAAATCCTCCACAACGAGAAAGTGGCATCAAATTGTCAGTTGGTGGTGGTTGTTCAGTATCATAATCAAAGAATGGTCGTTTATTTTTCTCTAAATACCCTTCGCGTAACATATTGTGTAGACAGCAGGTTACCCAAATTAGATCGTCGATTGTGGTCGTTTCCAAGTTGATTGGCTGATAAAAAATTCTAAAAATTTGGCTTAACAATCCGAAAGCATTTTCGGTAACTCTTCGAGCACGACTTAGTCTGTAATTAAACACAGCTTCAGAAGGATTTTCTCTTGCAGATTTTCTTGTGTACGGTTTCAAAATATGTGTGTGTAAGCGAAAAGCTTCATCACCTACAATTACATGGGGTGCTACCTTATCTGATCCCGGAAGTTTACATTGTTCTGGAAATCCAAATGTCCCATTTAAAATTTTCTGTCCCATATCTGACTTCAAAAAAATACCACTATCGCCTTCTTTTCCGAAGGAACCAATATCAACAACAATAAATTTATAATTCGCGTCCACCATTGCCAGAAGTACAATCGAATAAAAATCTTTATAATTATGAAATAAAGTCCCAGAATTACTGGGACTTCGTATACGGACATGCTTTCCATCAATTGCTAAAATGCAATTTGGGAAATTCCACTTGTACGAGAATTCAGCTGATTTTTGTTTAAAATCTATATTTTTTGGATCTGGCAAAAAAAATAGGTACCAATTTATTTTTCAATTCAGCTAGTGTGCTTTTTATTATTGTGCTTAAATAGTTGTGACTGATACGAAAATCAAACGCTAATGATCTTAGTGACTCACCAGTGGCAAGATATCTATTTAAAAAAAAAATTCAAAATTATTACTTCGATATATTGATGCAAAACATAAAATAAATTATAAATACCTCAATGTTACTGCTAATTTTTTCTGCCGGTAATATTGGATTTTTAACTCTATTAGTAGGTGCTACCAATAATTTTTCTTCCACCAAAGATAATAAAAAATTGAATTGCTCATAATTAATTCTAAAATATTCACGAAACTTCACTTGATTGCTTATTAAGTGTCGATTAATTAAAATTTCAAAACACCCTTCAGTTTTACGGTTTTTAAAGATATCATCCGTTATTTTTCTTTTCTTCGGCGTCAAATAAGATAATGAATTAACTTCATCGTCATCTTCATCCATCAATAGTAGGGTTAAAATATTATTATTATTAAAAATTAATTGATCCATAGTTTGTTACTAGGTTTGTTATTTATGAATTTAAACTATACATGCGCACTTGAACAGATTTGAAACTGAACTGACAAGACTGCAACTAGGCAAAACCAATAATTTTATTGTCGCGACTTGTCGCGGTCGCGTCTTGTAGACCACATTAAAAATAAAGTGGTAGCGGCTACCGATTACGAACATTAGTCGCGGCGACCGGTCGCCGCGACATGTCGCGCCTTGCAGACCGTACCTTAAACGCACAAACAGATAATAATGATTGCGCTTGACTATATTATAACTAGCCGAGCGGATTATCATAATTTAAAGATATCTTGGTATATATTATAATAATTTGGTATTTTGTCCACGATATGGATTACAGCAATCGATAGATAGTATAGAATGACGCCTCACACGCATACAACACTTGTAGGTATAATGTATTTAAATTTAATTAATAACAAAAATCACAATTTGAATTATTTAACTATTTGAAATTTTACAAAAAATACTTTATTGATGTAAGTAATACAAAAATGTCATTAAATATAAAAATAAAATGTATGATATATATTATATACATTTGGCTTGGTAAGGGGTTGGTTCATAATCAACCTCTGCCACACTATCATATTATAGTCTATCGTATAGACTATAGTATATAGTTACACCTATTGATTTTTAATAATACTTACTCGTTAATATATTTTATACGTATGTATATTAATATATATATTTTTGATATTAAATTGTCATTGCATTGAATTTATCTTTCAAATATTTATTAACGTAATATTGTGTGAAAACATGAAATTATTAATTAATTATATAATTTATAGATTCATACATTTACTTTAAATCGAATCCATGGTAAATGCTTGAATTTTAATGGGTTTGCGAGTTTTGATAAGCATTTCGTTTACTACCCAATTATCTCCTCAAAAAAGACACTAAAACCAGTCATTTTTGTCGAATACTCAAATAATGTAGTAATTAGAGTCTAGGGGTATTACGCTCCAATGAAAAGATCAAACGTATACTATATTCAAACATACCTATACCGGTTTCATTGACTGTGGCGGTTAATTAACGTTGGAAAAACTACCCAAGCGAATGTATATTGTATTATAGGGTTTTATAATATAATAATAATAATAATAATATTATAATAGCAATTACCGTGTGGGACACCTGTATGCATACACGAAACACGCCCACGGGCCGCCACATGGCTGCAACACAATACCCACTATCAACTTCTTTTACTTCCAAAAATGTCGGTTTTGAGGTAACTCGAAAACTAGCAGATGCGATTCGACAGGTGTGTATTTTAAAACAAAAAAGGAATTATGTAACGTGGTGACTTTTATTGCACAGACGTGCCATCACTACCCTTCCAAAAACGCCTTATTGAAGATAGAGACAGTAATATAATTATAATGATGAACAATAATGGAAGGATAGTGAAAAAAGCTGAAAGAAGTAAACTAATAACTCCATTTATGAAGTGGATCATAAAACACATAGGAAAATCAAGTTATAAAGAACTGTAGTATAGCTACAGCGCCTACTACAGCCGGTGGATAGAGGAGTGGAACGATCGCTCACCGTTCGTTATCGACGTCCTCGTAGTTCTAAGATTAACGATGTAAAGAAAAGATCAAACGTCGATTTGACGAAATACAAATTACTATAGCGCAGATTTGAGGTCACGAATCTATTTGTACACTGTATCGATGCTCAGAACTTTTCAAATTACTATTAGGACGGGTTGACGACATCTTTGTGCGGTTTTAAGCCAAGTAGTAATCCGAGGAATTGGAGACCGAAAATCAATCATAAGTATTAGCATTTCAGATTTAAAAATCCATAATTCACTGTTCTATGAAAACAGCATGTTGATATTACCGGATCGCGATTACTCAAGTTACTAAGGAATTTGTTAAAAAATGATTATCATGGAAAATAGTGTTGTTGATCTTGCAATTTCGGAATGATTTACTCAATGAACCGATAATGCACTGCTCTTATTTAGATTATGGTATATCTATTCACAAATTTGAAAACAATATTCGGAAACGAAAATAACTACAACACCGATTGCCAAATCATGGGGTCTCTGGTCTTAGAAAAGAAGAAGTGGACGTCATAAACTCGTATAACCGAGTTCGCAGTACAGACGACTTCACTTTTCAGTTGTACCACAGCCGTTAAGTCCACTGGAACTTTATACCTTACACTCTTGCACTTTTTATGGTAATTTACTTACGTTATACCTATTAAAATAAACAACTAATTTAACTTATATTGATTTGATAAAATTATTAAACTCATTTGAATCACGGATAGTTCGACCGCTAAAACACATTCACTCTGTAATAAATTATTCAATAAAGAAAACACATTAGTTTAAATATAATAATATACAGCTCGATTTATTATTTTAATAAAACAGTTTTATACAAAATATAATAATAATAAATATCATTGCTACACAAAATTTTAATTGTTAAAGCAACATATATGGTGTAATTTTTGTAAATGTACATATTATAAAAAAATATAATGCGATTAATATAGGGTACCAGTCTGCTATTAATATAATAGTGTAAATAATAGCATTATGATGTAGTGCCATCATCATTTTTTCACATGTGTGTCTTGTTTGTACAGTTTATATACATGAAAAAAAAAGAATTTTACATTTGAGCTTAGACATAACATACCGAACTCGTTAACAAAAAAGGAAATTAAATATTAGTAATAACGAATAAAAAAATAATAATTCATATTGGACATACTGTATAAACTAACATTAAATAATAACTACTATTCAATAGTATAAGTAATAACTAAGCTAATTATAGGTACACTACGCGTTATCAAAAAAGAAAATGAAGATAATGAAGAAACGACAGCAATAATAATAATAATAATAATAATAATAATAGCTCATGAAAGGTCCCCGTTCAATTGTTTAGGTTGGTAGGTGGCCTGGCGAACAACGCAGGATTAAACATAGCTCGAGGCCATTCTACGGGTCCTTTTCCGCCGTTACGCATCAGTCCATTGTTTAATGTCTCGAAATGTTGTTTCAATAGGAATGCGGCAGCCTGTCTCTGGGCCGCGAACAACAGGTTAGAGTTTATGGCCGCCGAAGCAGTTGTGGCAATAGGAGACTGTACCATTTGCCCAGGACTCGTTGATTTTTTCGTGTTGGGTAAAGAACAGTTGCCCGAAACGTCAGGAGCCGCTAATCTTTTTACACCACCATTTGGCGGAGACTTAGACAAATCCAAAACTTTGCTCACCGGTTGAAGTTTTGAGGTAGGTTGCTGTTTCATGGCAGATTGTTGTTTTGTAACAGGTTGCTGTTTAGTAACAGGTTGTTGTTTTGTAACCGGTTGCTGTTTCGTAACCGATTGCTGTTTCGATGCTTGTAGCTGTTTCGAGGCCGGTTGCTGTTTTTTGGAAGGCAACAGTTTACCATAAGGTGACGAGTTGATTTCAATCAACTGCGGCACGTCATCTTTATTCAGTCCCAGTCTCGGAGGCGTCGCCTTACGTTCAGGGTCTTCCTGTTTCCTCTTGTTGACGCTACCGCCAACGATGGGACTTGGTTCATCAAATTTCCTCTTGTTGTTAGCACCACTGCCTACAACGGGATTCAACTCATCTAATTTTCTCTTGTTGGTAATGCTACTGTCAACATTGGGATTTGATTCATCGAATTTTCTTTTGTTGTTGGTACCACCATTAGTGGTAGGATTCGATTCATCCAATTTCCTTTTGTTGTTAGTACCATTACCGGCGATAGGATTCAATTCATCCAATTTTTTCTTGTTGTTACACCCAACGCTAGTAATTGGACTTAGTTCTGGCGCCTTCTTCACAGATTCGGTAGCGAACGTCATCAGCTTGATAGACACGTCCGGTTGCACAACTTCACGACGCTTGGCATCCATGTCTTGTTTAGAAGTCTCAGTTAAGAGCGACACACTAAGAACACCATTTTCCGTATCTACGCGCCTCTCTATACGATTATTATCTGTAACATTGTTGTGTTGCATATGTGGGTCTTCCTTCATCCGTTTAGTTGGCATACTGTACAAGTTTGGTACGGGTTTCTTATTAACTGGTTTGCTAGGCACAACTACAGTATTGCCACTGTTGTTACAATTACTAATTTCTGTAGTAATTGCAGGTTTCGTTAATTTTTCTGTGGCCGTTGGCACTCGCATTATCTGTAGGCTCGGCTGAGAGTTCGAGTGATTTTCGTGTGCGGCCGGAAGTTGATTAGTCTCTGGCTCTGTGACTTTGGTGATCTGTAACGACGATTCACAATTGTACTTATCGTGCAAGTCGGTGACAGTCGGCGGCTTCAAGAGCCGCAAATCTTGGCCAACTTTTAATAAACTTTGCGCTGCGTTCATTTCGTCCAAATTTTTCGGCGACATACAACTATTAACAGTAGTTGTTGGAGGTGGAGGTTTATCAGCCATCAATTTTTTGGTTGGATTTTCGACCACCATCGTAGGCTTCTCGTTCATCTTATTGTCTTTCACAGCAGTTGGTACAGGAGACGGTAGTGGTTTGGCCGCCAAACTTCTGGCCTTATTCCACTCGTAGGACTTACGCACTGGTATAAAAGGTGGGCGATTGGTGGAAGCTTGGCTCCGAGGAGGCACCGTCTCTGGAGTCCTTTTAAACGGATGCATACCAGGGAATCCGGGCCGAACACAAGCGTTCGGCTGTACAGGCCTGTGTGGTAGTTGAAAGCTAGGTATGGATGTATGCATACCGATTTGTTGCATCTGCTGTAAAGTAGGAACAAATTTGGCAGCAGCGGAGGCATTTTTGTTCTTCATGATAAGTTTTGTAATAGAGAGATTGAGCTTGGATTCTCCGACACCACTATGCTTTTTTGGCACTGGCAGAGTAGAAGGTGGGGAATTACTAGGAACAGTATCCTGTGGTATTGGCTGCTGGTCAACCAGTTTTTCCAGCTTCTTCATCGGTATTTCGGTGGTTGTACTACCGGTTTGTTGATGTTCAACGATATCGACAGATTTATTCTCTTCCATCGTCATATTCACTGTGGAGTTTGGTTTCGATAGTTCATTGGAACAATTGTTCCTGACGTTATCTGAAACATTTTCCTTTCTCGAACTACCTTCCGGCGATATTGGAGGGTTCAGTGGTACTATTGGTGGAGGAGACGATCGACTATCTTTTTTTGATAAATCTGTTTTGGCGATTATTGACGTCGATTCATTTAGGGTTGATTCTGCTTTGGACTGTTGTTCTCCCTCAACTTTTATTGGTTCTTCGGCAATGGATACTTTCAAAGTTTGCGGTATAGTTTTTTTCTTATCTTCTTCAGTCGTTTCGACCATCAATGAAAGATTTGACCCGTTAATTTGTGATGGTAATGGCGTAGTTTCCACAGCAGTGTTAGATACCGGTGATAATTCGGATTCTGTGGTTATGGCATCTGTTAACGCTGTACTACATTTATCTGTCGACAATATTACGGGTACCATCATACGAGCATTAATTTTGTAAAAGAATCGCATAGGTTCGTTTCTGTTCCATGTGTAGATATACGCGATATCCATTATCGAATACTCTTCAGGTAGGCTTTCTCTTCTGTACAGCAATTCAACCTGAAAAAAAAAAATTTTTTAGAATGACGATTCGATCTTCCAAATTTAAATCATGTTCGTGATAACCAAAAAAGAAAGATGGCCTACAAGTTGATTTACTTATTAATTTGAGAAACGAGTTTATTAATATATTGAAATATTAGTCTTAAGGTTAGTTTTTATGATGTATCAATTATATCATTCACCTAAATATTAACTATGAAAAGTTATTAATAAGGAGTAATTAAGGAACAAATAAACATAAGTTATTTATAAGAAAACCTTAGACTGGAAAAATATTATGTATAATTTGCTAAGTTCAATATTTTTAACAGTAACTTAATTTAAAATTGTTTTGTTTCATCGTCTCAACTCTCAAATATTACAATATACGTATATTTTTAACAAGCGTTAATTTAATTTAATGATACATTTCTTTATATTACTTCGAATGTAAATATTATGAAAGATTAAAATTTTTAATAAAATTGCATACCAATATCGCTTTAAAATTTACAGAAGTATAGATCATAGAATGTATTTTAACTAACAACATATTTCAACGATAAAAGTTTTATTCTATTTTAGTAAAGAACACTATTATAAACTTGACTATCGGGTGATACAATATAATATAAATATATATATATATATATATATATATATATATTAAAAAAACGTATAAACCAAAAAAATTAAATTCAAAAAACATTTTATACTTTCAATAGCGTATATTACGATAGTATACTATTTTAGAAAAATATCTAAGCTTTCATAATATCGAAATCAACTTAAATTTGGAATAATATACGTTTGAAATAAAACATATCTTATTATATAAATGCATGAAAGTGCTGGGGCAGCGAGTCGATGGAATCTCTGACGTGTTGACGTCATGACGTGATGCATGTCATTCTCAAATGGTACAACTAATAAAACGAAACGAAGCAATGAAAAACTATTTTTAGCAAAATAAATTATTTTTTTAGTCTATAATATTTCGTTGATATTAGATTCATAAATATTTTCTAAGATTTCCTTAGTATTTTGAACAAAAGCTAAAAAGTTAATTATTCAACAACCAACTAGAAGAATAATCAAATTATATATAAATACATAAGTTTTCGAAAAATTAATTCAATAACTAATATATTATATCGGATTAAAATTTAGTGAAATCATACCGTATATGATACTATTAAATTATAATCTATAAATTATTCTTTAGTTTAAAAATACCAATACACAAATTTATAAAAACAGTGTTTCGCAATAATTGAATTGGTCGAACATAATACAAAACAAAATCAAGTATTTAGAATTGATAGGTTACTGTTTTTGTGATATTAAATTTAAGATTAAAAGGAAATAAGTTAATACAGATATTAAATTTAAGTAATAGTTTCTTAATTACTTATAAAAGCAATCAAATGTTAATAATATTTCTATTAGAGTATTCTCCAACATAGGTACAACTTAAAAAAGGTGTATAATAAAAAAAAGTCTTATTGTTTTATAGAAGTAAAATTATTTTACCAAATGAAAAATATCGTTTAATATACAAACTATCATTTATTATCTTAATACTTTTACATATTCACCATAAAATGTATCTACTTAATGTAGATAAATATTTTATCAGCGAAATATAGTCTAACTACTGGTGTTTAATGTTTACTATAGTAACGTTAACATAATAATGTGAGGTTATAAACTCAAAATGAATTATGTAATTTACATTATAGTTGTGTTTTTTGATTATGTACGCAATAAAATATTTTCATAAAAGATAATTAATGACTATGTATATAATTTAGTAATTTCATCAAATAATTCTAAATTATACATATATTTAATTATCTTAAGTATATCCTATACACACTTAATAGAATAGAAAAGGTATATTTGTGATTTTATCAAATAATGGAATACAGTGTGATTAATTTTCAAATACAATTTGTATAAAAACTTCACAATGACTGCACATTAGTATTGTTGTTGTTTTTAATTTTTTTTGTTCTACAGTTGTACCAATGGCCCAGTTAGGTATAAAAATGTATTTTTAACGTTATAATTTGTAAGTAGAAACAAAATGATACATATAATAATACTATAAAAAGATCTACTAAAATATTTTCTTACCTTGTCCCAAGGTTTTAGGTTATACTTCAATCGAATAAATTTTTTGAGGTGCGACATTCTAACGGCTGCAGGACACTTCAAATACCGTTTCCTCATAATAGATCTCTGTGGCTTGTCGGTCTAAAAAGTATAAAAATAATAACAATCATTATAAATAACATGTTTAATTCTTTGCTTTTATAGCAAAAATAATTTAGATATATATATATAGGTATATTTTTAAGATAATACTTACTCTCACTTTGTAATGTAATCCTTTGTCATCCGTGACATTTTTCCACATTTCTTCTTCACATTCTCTGTAAAATAAATTGGTAAAATTAAACACTTTTGAACAAAACAGATAATAATAAATAATATACAATTTAAAAAATAATATCATTTTTATAAATTTCTATTCAGAAAATCATGATATAAAAAAGCTATATTTTAATATATGACTTTGATTAGATTATTAATTAAACTGAATTATTAAATAGGTTTTGATTATGTTTAGACTTTTAAATAAATATGTATTTATAGTTATAATTAAAAGCCATTCATATTCTCATTATCTGTGCAATAAATTAGATTTATACAGGTAGCTGATATTATCTTTTTATAGGATATTCATTTAATGAATAAAAATATTTTAACGTAATAGCCAGTAGATGACAATTTTCGATAAAAATAATTTATCAAATATGTATTTCAAGTTGCACACGATGTTACGTTAAATTATTTTTTTACTTTATATTACAACAATCTTGTCCTTTTAAAATGATTACCGATACAATATATATATATATATATAGACACACACACACATACACACATCGGGGTAACGTTGCAACAGCTGCAACGGTGCGCGCATGTGTATCGCGTGCTATACAAAAGACACGAAGAGCGAAAACAACGGTGGCGTTGCTATAGCGGTAGCAGTTGATGGTATTTGGTGTGAGGTGAAGGAGGGGGGATTAGAAAATAAGTGGCCCGTACGACAATCGAATTATGAAACCCTGAAATTCCACATGTGAAGAGCTCTATGGTGGGGATATATATTCATCGCCATTTAATATTAAACAGACGGAAATCATTCGATAAAGGGTTGAAAATATTAAACAATAGACATATTATAGTTTTCATAAAAAAATTTTGAAGGGGTGAAAAAAATTACAACTGTCAATCATATATGAATTACGTAGTACATAAATATTAGAATTCGAAATTATACATTCATATCAGAAGCCAAAACGGAACAACCTAACCATAATGTGACAGATAAAAAAATATACACACATATACACATTATGAGATAATCATTATCTATTATTTACATAAAAGTTAATTTCTATATTATATTTAAAATAATAATCTTTTTAAAAAGAAATGTTGATATTTTTTAAAGTGTTTAAAAGTTAACTGCGGCATATCAATAGCATTTACGAAGTTTTTAAAACAATATACCTAATTCAATATATACTTATTATTTTTGATTTATCAATTTACTAATTTGATTAATGATTATATATATACTATTAACTTTATTATTCAAAAAGATTAAAATAAATTAATAATTAAAAAATATTTAAATTTAATCTATATAGTTCGAAAGTATAATAACTAGAAATTTTTTTAAATAAAACGTATATACCAACAATAAAAAAAATAATTTTGTGATTATTTATAACCAAATCAATATATAATAACTAATAATATAATAAATACCTACAATATTAACGATTGATCTTGAAAACAATATACTGAAAGTGAAGGATCTCAGAAAAAAGCGGTTTTCCGGCCCGTTGTGGTAACCAAGGTTACCGTGCTGAGCCCTGATCGATATGTATAACGCGCAGGGAAATGCATTTGAGGGCTGTTTCTCTTTTTCACTATATATTGAAGGTAGATGAGCACTAAGAACCTGTAGCTTCCAGTATATATTGTATAAAAAAATTTAAAAGAAGAGTGAAGTATTACTATAATACATTTTTAAAATATAAACCTACTGATTAATGTTGTCTTAGCAATTCTAAGTCTAACACATCTTCAAATATAAATGTTAATAGTTAAAAATTTAGTTTTTCACGCATCTACCAATTTTGTAAAATTAATTAAAAATTGAAATTTTAATTTTTTTTTTTTAAATTTTACTGTATTTTGTTAACCATAAACTTTGTTTTTGATAATTTTTTTTAACATCCTACTAAAATCGTTTATGTTTTTTAGTATTTGTATAGACCCTTATGGGTAAACAAATGATTAGAATTCTGAATTACTTTCATATATTTTTTTTATACAGGTAATGCAGCTAATTGATACAGTTTATGCATAATATATTATGTATAATATTATATAAGATTAGTATATATGGTATATTATTATTGTTTAAGACTAACTGAATACTTACATAAATATAATATACAATAAACTGTAATCTATATATTCGATAAAGTAATAATACGTAAGGAACAAGACATTTTATTTAGATAACCCAATATAAAATACAACGTTACTTTTTTATTATAAGCTTATAATAACCTCCATCGGTATAATTTACTATTTTTGCCGATTTGAAATAATTCCCCTGCAGTAATTGTCTTATGTCAATTATAATAATTATCCTCCTTCCCACCACTAAACGGTCGTTCATCACCTAAACCACAGCGTATAACCTATTCATTATTTCTGAATATATGATTTACCTATAAACTTTGACAGTTAAAATTATCTCTTGTTTATTAGTGGAAACATCATGTACGATAAGTCAGTGCGATCATAGGATTAAAAATGTATTTTTATAGTAGGTACAATATAAGCTACGAGTATTTAAATCGTGACGTCCAAGTTAAAATAGTTTTTACGAGTACATATAAGCATAACAAGGAAGTGTCTAACACCAAAACTACTTATTAACTAGATAAGTGCAATATTTTATTCAAGAGAAAATGATATTTTACCACAGATTTGATTCCAAAAACTATAACAACGTTAAATTTATATTTATAAATTTTAAATCATTATATAAAAATACAGATAAATCAAAATCAGTAATCGTGTACTGTACATAACTAATATCTCATTTAAAATTATATAGTTGAATTACTATTTCTTCTTATCATATTCAATTTTATCGTTAATTTATTGAACACTTACTTATCGTAGTATTCCAACGACAGGCTAATTAATTCATCAGCCGTATATACGATTCGATCGACGCTAACACCACGACATTCCGGTTGTAAATGCATGTCTATACGAAAAATTAAAAAATTAAACATAAAATTCATAACAACTCACTAGATAAAAATGATTACCTCTGTGAGGGTGTTTTTTATAAAATTCTTGTCTACGTTTCATTTCTGAATGGTATAGTCCCGGGACTAATTTGTACACAATGTCTTGTAATGCTTTATCGGGCCTGTGAAAATAAAAAATGTTATTACATACAATTTACACTAATACATTATTGACTATAGTTTCCAAGTATATTTTAAATCTACACAAACAAGTAAGGTGGATATTATAATTATTATACTTTCAATATAGCCAACAGTCAAAATAACTCGTTAACTTGACCATTTTTTTAAAATCTATTGCAAGCCACTGAATTTTAAATTTTATATTAACGAAATATAATGTATAATATTGGTATTCGTCCAAATATGTTTCACAATTTTTACGTTTGCTTAAAAGTAGGTTTCACTTATTAACATAATACATGTTTAATCATATTTTGCATACAAATCTGCATGCATCATTTTCCCAGCTATATTTAATCGGTCAAATGACCTAGATTAGAATATTCTGTGAAGAAGGATTCCATTCGATAACAAAATCAACAAAAAGAAATGGTAACTAGGCAATGTACCAGTATCTTATATATACATAAACCTATTATATTCCATTATATTTACATAATAACATACAAAGGGATATATTATTTTAATATATATAAATCTACATACTAAAGTGTAGGTATTCTCTTATCTATATGACGGAACATCACACCTTTTATTTTGTAACTAATATTTTTTGTATATGATTACTGCAGTAGTAAATTATTGTTTATACATATCTATATGATTTTTAAATGATATTACATATAAAAATGTAAGTCTGTATTAAATTGGCTTCCTATATTTTAACCTTGCAGTAGAAAGATTAATAAGAGTTTTTTCTTCTTACTATATTTTGTACTTTTAACCTTCGCGGTGCTGTTAAGTTTTAGACAAAGTTTCTAAAGAAAATCTTACTGAATCATACACTTAAAATGCAATTGTGCAAATAAAAATAGGTATACCGGAATATAAATATCTATGTAAAATAATTTAAAGATATATATAAATGTATAGGTACATACGTATAATTATATATAATAGATAAAATAATATAAGGGTGAGTACAGCAACTATGAAAAATTTCCTGCTAATAAAACGATACAAATAAAATAACAAAACGTAGATTATATTATAGCTCCAATTACTATAACAACTAAGTTTACGGTACATTTCTGTTAACGTTATTTTTTTGATATTTAATTTATAAGAACGGAAATGATATTTTTATTTCTCTTTAACATATCTCTTTGCAGCACAAAATAAATGTATAGTTTAAAATTTTACACTTAAGAATATGACGAACTTGGATTTAGGTTAAATTTAAATAATAAGTAAGTATACAAGTGAAATTTATCCAATACCAATTGATTATAAAACAAGCATAAACACATATAATTATTATATTACACCAAAGAACAGTATAATTTTATTATTTTGTTTCACTACTCCACTTTTGGTTGAAACGATTTTTCTAAAGAAATATAATTCATTGATTATTTTATGGATTTCATTAAAATATAATAAATTTTGTATACTCGACGGGAGGTCTTAACAGACAAATTGAAAAGAGCTCTCACGACGATATTTTACAATGTAGAAACAAAAACTAATTGCATGAGAAACTGCCGTGCGTATACGGAAGTAGGTAGGTGGTGACTAGAGAATTTCGAGACTGTTTTCCATTCATTATATATGTATACAATATAATAGTTCGTAATGTTGTCGACAAAAAAAAAAAAAAAAAAAAAAAGGTTGTTAGTGACAAAAGCACAAACAAAAATTGTGATAAGCACACCATCTTCCACGCACATAATAATATATTTGTATATGATAATAATGTATATAGGTATGAAAGACGTACTGTTATATTAACGCATAATATATAGTATACTCGTATAATAAAATGGTAAAATGGACATTATTTTTTTGTATGAATGATTGTTGTATACAATGAACGAAAACCACACGCACGTGTGATGAAATTCGATTGAGAATTTTCAAATTTTACATGCAGTGTTTTCCATCGATATTAAACGTAAACACGCCAGAAATTTACGAGTGCAGACTAGAATAATGACGACGCGATAATAAACATATGAACTTCGAACGCGGAAATTGTAGTTCAGTGTAGATTAAATAAAAGTAGTAAATAGAATGTGATAAAAATAATGTTTGAACAACAAAAGATCGTATCTTGTAAAAAATTTTCAGAAATACAGTAAATACCTTATATCTGCAAAGTTTACGCAGTGGAAGTGCGAAACTATTGCGAAATTTCGTGTTCTTAACAAAAATCAACAATGACCGTGAAAAAAGAAAACCGTATGTGACATCAAAATGAACGCGAAAATCCGATACACCGCACAACTGAAAGAGCAAAGCGTGCAATATATACATGAATGAAATGCTATTGTTATTTTTTTTACCATGTCTCTCAGCTTGCTTGCTCTCTCTCTCTCTCTCTCTCTCTCTCTCACACACACACACACACACACTATCTAAACTCATAATAATACGTACATACGTACATACATACATGTATAATGACTTGGACGATTTCGAATGGTCGAATAACGCTCACTACATTATCTGCGATTTTTTTTTTTTATTTCATTTTTTACGACACGAAAACCGGCAGCGAATACTACGGCAACGCCGTAGAGAGAAAGAGGCCATTGACACGGGCGCCGCCAGCGCGGTAGGGAAACTCGACTTTGCCGTATAGCGTACTGCGGTCCACCACCACTGCCGCCCGTACATGTTTATACGTGTGCGCGTCTGCCGCCAACATAAACATGCACACACACAAACACCGCTCACCGTACCGTAACACTTTTCCCGCGAGAAAAGCCCAGCGGCGGCGACTGTGGCACGTTACGCGAACCGTGAAATCACGGCGACACAGGTATGTGTGTGGGGGGTTGTTGTGTGCGTGTTACTCGCTCAAACACTCGAATAATAATTTACGTGCACTCGTACGTATGTATATATAGCTACAATATACACAATTTACGTACCTATATATATTATTATGTAGGTAGGTAGACTATATTAAAATATTAATAAAATATTAAATAAATAATAATAATAATAATAATACACTATATTATAGTCTATGTACATTACTTCAACACGTTAATCTGTTTTTTTTTTTTAACCCTTTTCATATTCTTTTTTGTCTTTAATCATTTATTTGCTGACGATATTCATCGTACACGTCACTTTCATAATAACAAAAATAGTGTAGATAAAATGAAACGCCAAAGCATATATCTATACGAGTAAACGTACGGTCCGAATCGTGAAAGTCAAAGGTGATTATCAATGATTAATATAGTTGATATGAAAACGTGGATAAAATTTATATTTTATGCTTAACGTTTCCTATTATCACTTTTTTGTATGGCAGTATTACTTCCACGAATTTAAAAATATAATATAGGAACAATCGTTTAATAATAAATATTTAAACATATATAATTATTTATAGAAATTAAGTTACTTTAAATACTTTAAAAAAATATATATTTTGCTAACTACTATAGAGCAAAATTCATTTTTTCTAATAATAATGAAATATTATAATTATCTCATATTTTGGATATGACAATTTATATATAATATTTCATAAAACTCGAGTATAATCGATTGTTAAATACAACATAAATATATTTTATCGTATATTACTATTAATTTTGAAATAAAAATTGTATTGAAATGTACATCATATACATTAATATTTTAACCACGTCTTATGAATTTTAGATTTGTGAAGTTCATTCAAACTACGATCATATAATATGACAGTACGTATAACTGTTGTTTTCGAATTTTTTCATAAGAACTTACCACGCAGTAATCCCCTTAACCATTAAAACTTTTCTCGTCACCTCGGATGAATAACTTGAACCCTAATCTAATGCTTTTGTTTCGTAGGACATTATCCGCTTCTTTTTCACATTGCGTATTATACGGAAAAGTTAGTTCTTTCCCAAAAGTCACCCACTGTGTCAAATGGAAAATATGTACAATAATTTTCTGAAGCATTAATATTTGTTTGAAAAGTAACTTTTGTAATCTTTAGAATATCTTGCACTAGAAAATTATGCACTAATTTATTGTGTTATTGGCAATAAATGTTATTTTTCAAATACTTTATGCACCCATAAAAAATTGTTAATAACAAATATTATATTACGACACAGTGGGTTTATACTATAAGTACAACTGATATATGTACGATGTGGGTTTATTATTATTATTACAGTCATAAAAATCAGCAGAAAGTATGAGCAATAAGCATAATAATAATATTTATACAAAAAGTACCTATATATAGGTATGTGTTATGTGTAGGTAGGTATTTCTGAGCGTCTACCCTCGTAATCTCAAACGGCACAACTTAAGTAAAATAAATACGAATTCAATAAACAATGTAAAATAATGATACAAAATTCAATAGTGGGGGGTCGATTTTAATATTTTTTACATAGATTTATACTTTAAAATAAGAAAATAACATTTAAGAAATAATATATTAATTTTATATCAATACATTATTATATACCATTTATTTATAATTTATGAATCATTTGTTGTTAATTGTATACTTTAAAAAAGAAAATATGATACTTATTATAAGGTACCTATATATATATATTATAATAAAAAAGAGAAAGAAATAAAAGAGAGAGTGAGAATTTTTACTATCAAATAATCTTTTATAGAATCATGTTTGTGTAGAATAAATGTTATAATATAGTCTATAAGTAATAAAATAAGTCAAATTTAAGCTTACTTGAGAACTTTGCTGTTTTGAATGTCTTCTCGACATATTGGACAAAAATTGTTCTTATCCAAATGCAGTACAATGCAGCTCCGACAAACTGAAATACATGTAATTTATTAATTAAATTTGGTATATATTGTTTGACTTTATTAATTCCAAACATTTCAAACGTGTATAAAAAAGGTTAATGTAAATATAGGTATAATAAATAAATAATTTTTTATAGCATTTAAATGATTCTGCTCGAAAAGTTCCCATTGGTATTATCATACAAATGAAGTGAAAATCCAACGGAAAATTCGAAGCTATTAGCATATTGTCACTGGTTAATCGACCGAGTTTTGTTCATAGTATTATTTAAAGTTTTACCCTCCTCCGCTTGTGATGTATACACGCGTTCAGCCAAAAGCGTTTCGGTATGCATAACCGGGGAATATTTTAATGGATCTGCCTGGCGACTTTGAAATTCAAATATATACGAAGAAAAAAAAACACTGGTTTTATCAAACGAACATTTCATAGCAGAATGGGTCCTTATAAACATAATATAACGCTCTATGTTGTGTTGAGTTTGCACATCGTACGTTAATGCGATGACATATCTTATCTATATGTACCTATAGTAATCGATTTTATCGGTATAACAAGCCGATTCAATCAGCTAAAATGTTTTATACCAACTAAAAGTTCTAGGTCGTCCATGAGGTTAAATCAATACTGTAATAACTTTAAACAGATTTTACATGTTAATTACCTTTTGCTCTTATTATTTGTAATTGAATATAAGACATATATAACACAATTTCCTATAGTTAAATTATAATTATTAAAAAAAAAAAAAAAAATATGTCAAAAATAAAAATATAAAAACGCATATTATATTTTTCAATAACTATAAGTTCGTGGAAGAATCTACATTCATTATCTAACATGACAACACAAATTTAAGTAGGTAATATTGATACTCTTTTTTATTCAAAATAAAATCATGTTAAACCAAAATTCAAGATAACTAAATTTTTTTTTCAATTTTATTAATTTTGTTTTTGAAAATTCGGTTAAAAAATTCAACTATTGATAGCATCACTTTGAATATTAGTTTATATACTATACTTAATACTTTAAATCACTAGATTATTATGAATCGTGAGTTCATCATATACATTTATTGAATGTATGTAGATACAAAAGACACATTTAAAAAATATGTATATGTTCTATTGATTTTTAAATTAAAAGAGGTTTCAATGTTAATTTAATCATTTAATAGACTTGTTTTAAAAACAGATGTAACTAAATTAAAACGTGTTTTTTAAATTTATTCTTGATAACTGATAAGCGATAATTCCATTATTTACCCGACCATATAACATAAAAATAAGACTATACAACTTCATGCTACCACAAACAACATATATTATTAATTTAAAAAAAAATTAAGTAAAGTTTTTGAAGTAAGTAAGTTTAATTATACGAGCCTATTCTATTACTATAATAATCAAAAACATGATATGTAGACGTATAAATCATACAATTTCTACAAAATTTTATTAAATAAAATATCCTATATTATAATATTGTATACCTACAGTCAACTATATCAAGAACCGAATAATTATTGTAAGAATTAAAAACTTATTAGAATTGAATACATTTTCTGTTCTAAAATTTATTAATGTATACCACTCATAAAATTAATATTAGGCGTAGTTAACAATGTCGACAATTGGACAAGCAGACCAAAAAAGCATGTTAATTCTGTATAAGGTATTTCTAATAGTCTACTGTAACTCATTGCAGATAATATATACACAAGTTTAGTATCTATCTGCAAGCATAGTTTTATCGCGAACGTTCGATCTTCGATGTAAGAGCAAAGAACGTCTACGTGTATATATTATATACGTATAGGAGGGTAACTAGAAAATTATTGTACGAAAGTACAGAACGTTTAATGAACACCTCCTAACCCAGAACTCGGCGTTAATGAAGTGTGAAAAAAAATCGTCGACCGAAAAAAAAACCCCATAATAATAATAATAATAATAATAATGACGGAAGGCTGATGCTCGGAGCGGAGAAGTAATAATATTATAATAGCATAGCTGCGTCGATGCGCACTCACGGAGTCGTCATTCTACCCACCGCTCTGTATACCCCCCCCCCCGTCAGCCCACCGATGGTACGCGCCGTCAGATTATCCACCACCCGCTCACCCCGCGGACCCCGTCGCGAGAGAAATCCGAAAACGTTTTTCACGGTCCCTCACCGCCGCCGCCGACGTAGACGTCGTCATCCAATTAGAGGCGTACTCGTCGGCACAAAATGCGGCAGCAGACAACGGACGGACAGACCGAGGAATATCCCCTCTCGCATCGCCCCGCAAACTCGCGGGGATTGACGCGAAGCGGCAAGTGAGCCCCGTCCGAGCGCGGCGGCGGCGACGAACGATGCAACTGGTCCATGCGCCGAATTTACGAGCCGTAGGTTAGTGGCGGCAGAATATAGTTACGGATATTATTTATTATTATTGAATTATTACTATTACAGCGAACGACAGTGGTGGGACGACGTTCGGAGGAAGCCGCATGAGTTTTGTTGTGTTTTCCTCGTAATGGTGGGGACCGGCGGAACACTTTCTACTGAGAGCGCCGTTGTCGTTTCGCCGATCAAAACATACCGACACAAGGCAACGTGCGCGGAACACACACACAATACCTGCAAACACACACACTAGCGCGGCGCACGGCCGTCAACACACGCTACAGTCGTCTCAGCTTACACACGCGGTGCGGCGTCGTCGACGACCGACCTGGGTCACGTAACACGAGAGCCGCCGCCGTCGCCGACGCTGAGCATTCAGCATACCGCACACAGCTAGGTCAATCAACGTCAGCTCCACGTCGTGTCATCAAACCCTCCGTCCGCGCAACGAATTTATTCATATGCCACCACGCCAGCTGAGCCCCGTCCCATTTACATCTGGCGGCGCGCCCCCCAAATACTCATCCATCAATGTGCGCGGAATTCCAAGGAAAATATACGGAAATTGTTTACATAGTAATTTTATGCAATATTCGAGTATAACGCGCAAAGCCGTATATTTATTAATTAACGTGCCCGATTTGAAAAGGAAAACAACGGTATTTCATGTTATTATTATTATTTATTTTTAATTAATCTTTTCCATCGCAACCAGCTACGCGATCCTTATGACAGATATAAAGCTGTAGCAATTATTATAATGTGACCTTGACGACGTTTGTCAATGGATAACTATCACATATATGCACGCGGCTTTGGCAACATTTTGCACATGTAGCCCTTTGAAAAACTAGTATCTGAGGGAATCTCGGATGCTCATTGACATCGTTTATTCATTTGCGAGAGTTTTAATTGAAGCGCAATGTTTACCCAGTGAAAACCCAGACACAAAACTGATCTTTATAATTGTTTAGGTTTATAATTATTACAAGCAATACGTAACTGAACGAAGCATACCAAT